ACATTTCCTCCATGAGAAGTTCTCTAAGTTTGTTGCTATAGCTTGACTAGAGAGGATAGAAAAGTCCCCCCGCCCCCACACACACTTAATGTGAAAATAATTATGTCTATTCTTGGAGACCTGGCTTAATTACACTAACCTGACTTTTTGCTGGCAAAACTAACTCTAAAATGGTATTGCTCTGAGACTTCTAATTATAGAGCAATCACACCTTTTCTTAACAGATATCTAAACCAAATGCTATAATGTTGGATGAGGTTATTGTGAATGACTTGTTATTAGACCTATTTTGAGGTACCACATGAATTTCAGTGAATATTGTATTATGCAGTGACAGGAAGCAACAAAACAGTTTACCCCAGAAAAAATATAAATTGCTACTATAGTTTGAGCAGCAATGAACCTCTTCAAGTATTTTGTAAGAAATAGGTTCCCTGACCATTATCCCTTGTTCTTCAACCCCGAAACTCCTCAGTCTCAACTCCCATATGCTTTCCACTCTCTTAGCCACCCCAGTCTTCTTCCCCTGTATATCTTGAATTCAATGATTGACCTTTTGATGATACCATCACTCATTCTCTCAGCCCCCTGACTCCTTTGAACTTCTGCTTATCCCTTCTGCCAAGTTTCAACCCAGAGTCAACCGACCATCTGTTCTCTCAACTATAGCTTCTAGTTTGCCAACTATAGCTAAGGAAAATTGTGCAACTGCTGATTCATAGCATGACAAATCTTCAATTTCCAAACTCACCTGACCCTTAGCACTATATGGCACTCCTTTCATTCTTGCCTGGTTGATTTTCTTTCCTACTATTCAGGTGCAATTCAAAAGCTCAAGTTAGCACTCTCCTGGGGTTTTCTACCATACCTGTTCAGTCAACAAATAATCTAACTTCCTGGGTTTTCAGGAAAATGTAGTGTTGGACTTTCCTCCTTTCTACTTCTAATGGTCATCTGTATCTCCGCAGTCCCTTCTCTCTGTCCCAGCTAATGTTGTACATCAACCACCCCTTCTCAATGCTATTGATTTTTATTTCTTTAGGGTTTTTCATTTTTACAAACCCACTACAACATCTCAATATATTATTTGAAGGCAAAAATTGTCCTTAGAAATCATATTCTGAGTAGAAGATAGACATTAGAATGTCTTTTTTTAATTTTTGTGTTGGTCCTAGGACCTGAATTCAGGGACTGGGTATTGTCCCTGAGCTTCTTTTGCTCAAGCCGAGTGCTATATCACTTGAGCCAGAGTTCTACTTCCAGCTTCGGTAAGTTTACTGGGGAAAAAAAAGTCTAATGGACTTTCCTGATCAGGCTGGCTTCAAACTATGATCTTCATCTCAGCCTTCTTAGTAGTTAAGATTTTAGGTGTGAACCACCAGCATCCTGCTGGATATTAGAATGTTAAGAAGTAAACAATTCCTGATTGGCCATAGAAAAGATCACATGGAAATAGGAAATGTCCTCCTTTTGGAATCACTAACAATCAAGGACAGAGAGGAAAGTGAGTTGGGATGCTGCCTGCCCATTAAATGTTTTAAAATTCTATCATAGTTCTGCCAGCCAAATGTCACGATATGAAATTTAAATAGGCTATGTTTTAATGATCAATGTCATTTTTGTCCTCTACTACTTGATACCATATGCTCTTAGTAATAATTAGTCTGCCAAGTGGCTACCTTTAACTATGAGGAGTTTGTTCACTTATGTTCAACCCAAATTTCTGGTGAATATTCTAAGGGAAGCCAAAGCAAATTTGGTTGATCTGTTATAGTTTTTCTAATTTAATGCCATATTATGCTAGTTATCATTTTCAAGTGACACATAGATGATTTGGCAAAAGCTAGAAGCTAACTTGCTGTAGAGGATACATAGGGGAGGTTATGTACCTTATCTAACCTAGGGCAGGTACAGATTTTGTAGGACTCTGATTACCTATAATTAATTCCCTAAATGAATACAAAGTATAAGTATAGAATGAATTTCAGGGCCCTTGAAAGAGGCCTTTGAAAATGAGGGCTCTAGCCAGGCATTGGTGGCTCAAGCCTATAATCCTAGCTACTCAGGAAGCTGAGATATGAGGATCTTAGTTCAAAGCCAGCCTAGACAGAAAAGTCCCCATGAGACTCTTATCTACAACTAACCACTCAAAAACTGGGAGTAGAGCTGTGGTTCAAGTGGTAGAGTACTAGCCTTGAGCACAAAGAGGCTCAGGGACAGTACCTAGGCCCTGAGTTTAAGCCCCTAACTGGAAAAAAAATTAGAGAGAGACAGAGACAGAGAGAGAAAGCAAGAAAGCAAGCAAGCAAGGAAGAAAGAAAATGAGGGCTCTAAAGCTTAGCTTCATTTAAATCACCTCTGTAAAATCTGACCACTTAATTGAGAGCATTAAATAAACATAAAGAAACTCACTAAATGTCAATAGCAGTCATAGTATGTTTACTTTTTTGTTGTTGTTGGTTGTGGAGCTTGAACTCTGGACTTGGGCGTTGTCCCTGTACTCTTCAGCTCAAGGCATGCACTCTACCACTTGAGCCATAGCACCACTTCTGGTTTTCTAGTGGTTTATTAGACATAAGAGTCTCACAGACTTTCCTGCCCAGGCTGGCTTTGAACTGTAATTCTCAGATCTCAGCCTCCAGGATTATAGGTGTGAGCCACTGGTGCCCTGCTTTATGTTTACATTTTATATGTGTGTGTGTGTGTGTGTGTGTGTATCCATGTTTGTGTGTGTACCTGTCCTGGGGCTTGAACTCAGGACCTGTGTGCTGTTCCTTTTTTTTTTTAACTCAAGACTAGAACTCTGCCACTTAAGCCATAGCTCCACTTTCTGCTTTTTGGTGGTTAATTGGGGGTAAGAGTTTCTTAGACTTTCCTGCCCAGGCTGGCTTCCAATGGAGATCCTCAGATCTCAGCCTTCTGAGGAGCTAGGATTACCTTATCAGCCCAATAGTACCATTCTTATTCTTTCTCTTAATATTTTTACAGAAGTGGAAACCAAGGCTCAGAGAATTTAGAAACTTGTTCACAGGCATCACTTTGCCTACAGTGAAGCTGAGATCCAAACCAAGTTCTGACTAATTTAATCTTGTGTTTTTCACTGTAATGCTTCAATTTGGGGTTTCCTCAAAGATAAATATTTTAAGTTATTTTGGAGAACATGTTAAGAAAATGGCTGGAAATTATGTCAATATTTGAAATGGGCTTTCTTTTCAGTAATAGAGTTTGAACTTGGATCTTCGCTCCTGTTAGATAGGTGTTGTGCTACTCCAGCACCTTTTTGCATTGGTTATTTTTGAGATGTTTTTCCTTTTTTGCCTATTCTGGCTTATTTCACAATTTTCCTATTTGTTTTCCACCATAGCTGGGATGATAAACACAACATTATGCACAGCTTTTTCTGTAGAGATGGGGTCTATGAATTGGCTGGTCTGGAATTGTGATCTGATCCTTCTAATATCTGCCTCTAGAGAAGTAGTTGGATTTGAAGGTAGGAACACCAATTGCTGGCTTGAAATTGACATCTCAATTTCCACTTATGAATCCCCCTAAACTTATTGCCTACATTTATATTTAAACGACACCAATGGAAACAAGAAATATTTTAGTTTTTTGTTGTTTCTTTTCTTTTTTGTCTTGTTCATTTATTTATTTTTGGGAGGGTAAAGAGGGTATAGAAATGGAGGGGTGAAGGGTAAACAAATGCAGCAGTGGTATTCAATAGATACTAATGAAAATGAACTAGACAACCTGGGGCAAGGATGGGAGGGAAAAACAGGGAAAGAGTGAAGGAAAGGGTGACATTATCCAAAAAGAAATGTATTGAACACCTGACTTATGAAACTGTACCTTCTCCACATATCACTTTTATAACAATAATAAAATTTAAATGTCAAGACCCCTCACAAATATTTAGTTCTCTGGATTATCTTTCACTTCAGATTGATGAAGATAGAAGACCTTACAGTTCAGAAGACATGTGGTAAACTAAAAAGAAAAAAAGGACAATAAATGTAAAATCACAAACTGGAAGTGAATGTGGAATTATAGCCTTCCAGGAGGCTGGTTATGGAAGGACACAGTGACAATGTGCTCTTTTACAAATTAAAACCTCTTGTTGCATATCAAATATTCTCTTATGTTGATATTATGACAAATCAAGTTTTTCGATTGTGCTAGTCCTGGGGCTTGTACTCAGGGCCTAGCTAACTGTCCCTGAGCTTTTGTGCTTGACTAGGACTCTACTATTTGAGCCACAGCTCCACTTCCAGCTTTTTAGTGATTAACTGGAGATAAGAGTTTCATGGTCTTGCCTGCCCAAGCTGACTTGAAACTATGGTCCTCAGATCTCAGCCTTCTGAATAGCTAGGATTATAGGCATGAGCCACTGGAACCTGGCTCCATGAAGTTCAATAAAGCAAGTTTTAAAGATTAGAAAATAATTACAATGGCTCATATATTACATTACTAGATTACATTCATACCCTTTTGTCAGTTTTGTCTCCATTATTTTAAAATGTCTTTTAGAAGCACCTTTTCTTCCTTCTAAAGCTCCAAAAAATATGTGTTGTGTCTTTTTATCTTTTCCTCACTCAGAATCTAGCACTTTGAACAGATAGGCATTCCACAGAGGTTTGTTGCCATGGTGTTGATGAGTTATTTTTGATAGGTTACCATTTTCTAACACAATAGGAATTCCGCTATGTAGATATGTTGCCATTCTATCTTATTCATTCAATGATACCAGAATAAGACTTGGCATTTGGTTAAAGCTAAGACAAGATGGAGTTAAGATCAAACACAGTTAAGTATTTTCAGTCCTCAAGTTGCTATTGGTGCTACTTAAAACACATGCTATTGTGACCTCAGCCTGTAGCTATAAGTCCAGTGCAAAAGGAGTTTCAACAGCAGCACAAAATGATGTCTTAACTAGAAGGGAAAAGAAGGCATATATTTTCAAGAAAGCTTCTTTATTGTTAGAGTAGAAGTTTCCCTTCAAGATGACAAGTGATCCAAATCCTTCAGGATCTTACTTGCTCTCAAACAGGTAAGTCTTTTGATGAAAGAAGTCAAATGGCAACCATCCAGGAGGGAAAGGAGGGTCTTTGTTAACACACGCTAAAGACAGATATTATGGTGTCTGCACAGAAATTCTAAAACAGATGACACCTACTTGAAGGAACTGAATGAAGACTTAAAGCTAAGGAAGCAGGAACTGCTAGAGATGCTAAAACCCCTAGAAGATAAGAACAACCTTTTACTCCAGAAATTATTGTCTAACTTGGAGGAAAAACAAAGAAGGTAAGGATATCCTATTCAAAAATCACAGAGAAAGAAAAGAATGGTTAATAGTTAAATGGTTAATCCAGAGGTTATTTATACTATTTGTGCTTGAATTTGATTTTCTTTCTCTTTTTAAGTTTAGGACACTCAGCTAAAGAATTCATAACCACAAAATTAGGTTGAAGACAATCTTTTATTTTTTTAGTAAAATTAAATATGACCCCCAACTCTCATCTCATGAAGTTGATTGTTACTCTTCCTCCTAGGGTGCCCACCTGAGAAATAGGTAAACTTCTTTAATAGTTTGGACCTATCAAGTTCACACTAACAGCTTACAATTCATGCTTATACAATCACTTTAGGATAAATGACTCAGCTCTTTCTATACCAAGCAGTGATCGTAGAGAGCCTCTGTGAACATGCGAGGCAACTGAGGTCTAACCTTGCTTCCAGAACAGTGATTCTTGGGACCCATTAACTCAAATTTCTGTTTCCTTTTTGGTCTGAGAAAAATCACATTTCAATTATCTACGTTCTTTCTATACCTGTTATAAGAATCTCGCTGGGCGCTGGTGGCTCATGCCTATAATCCTAGCTACTCAAGAGGCTGAGATTTGAGGATCGCGGTTCAAAGCCAGCCGGGACAAGAAAGTCCATGAGACTCTTATCTCCAATAAACCACCAGAAAACCAGAAGTGGCACTGTGGCTCAAGTGGCAGAGCACTGGCCTTGAGCTGAAGAGCTGAGGGATAGTGCCTAGGCCCAGAATTCAAACCCTACAACCGACCAAAAAAGAAAAAGAAGAATCTCAAGGAACACAGACTTTTAAAGAACAAAAGTTAAACAAAAATGCATGATCAACATTTTGCTGCTTACAGGCCAGCCAACAGAGACTTCTAGTAAAACAAGAGAAGGTGGTTTGACTTTCTGCTTATACATGGTGGCAGGGATGGGGAAAGGACAAGGAAAAGAAATATAAATCCATGAATAGGTCCAAACTATTAAAATAATATTCTCTCTCACAGTCAAAGCTTTGATACTAATGCATATTCTCCAAAGGCTTGCATTCTTTGGGGCTACCAAGGATGTAAGTAGTTTCTCCAACAAAGACATTTGGAAACTGAAGGGGATAGCAGGAGGTAGACAGAGATAAGGCAGGAATGAGTTGTCAGGTATAACTCTGAGATTCATCATAAAAACAGACTTTTTGGAACCCTTCTTTACAGGGACAGAAGGACTCCTTCCTCCAAAAAGTCAAATGCCAAAACATTCTTTTGAAGGAGATGGAACCAAATCTCATTGGCTGTGGAAAATGTTTCAGCATTAAAGAACTCAGAACTTACTACTGAGTACATGACTAAGGAAAATGACAAAATCGAAATTATATCATTCTAGTTATAGGGACTTACTATGTCAAAATGAAATGGGGAGGCTGGGTCTAGCTGGGGCCATCTTGGCCACATGGTGGATAGGGAATTGGGTTTAATTGGAGCCATCTTGTCTTCATGGTGGAGGAAAGTGAAGTCCTACCCCCCAGGTGGTGGGTATGCCTGAATTCCTAGAGGCAGGGGCAGGGACTTGGATGATAGGTTACTGGACCTGTCAGTCCTGTGTCTTGAACTTGGGAGAGTCTTGAGTTTCCTGTGATCCTGCACCCTGACACTATTTAGGGGCAGACCAGCTCAGGCCTTGTGTTCATGTACCTCCTATCTCCTGGCTCTTCTCCAGTTACCATGATGTCTCACTTCAGCTCTTTATTGGGGTTGATCTGGTTTGTTGGTATTGTTTCTCTGCTCTTTCTTTTCTCTGCTGCTCTCATGACTAAGTTTTTTGACAGTGTATTTGAGGGGCTTGTAGGTCTTTGTGACAATCTGCCTACAGTGGCCAGCTCTCCAATAAAGACTCCCAATTTGACCTCTCAAAATGTGCCTTCTCTGTTTCTCATGACCAAGATTTACCTTACAACAAAAGGACTTCCATAATTTCCAAGATTTCAGTACTAACCTAACTTCTATAGCAGAGTACTTCATGGCTTCCTTATAGGAAGCATGTATGATTTATGATGTATCTCTTCTTCTAGTCTGCAGATCATGAGGCAGATCATGACAGGGAAGGGATGCGATGAATCCTCAGTCATGGAGCTCATTAAGGAGGCAGAGGAGATGAAACAGAACCTGGTAAGATGTTTGTGGCTTCACCAGTGAACAGCTTTCTGAACAGACTCAATTCTACTGCTGCTGTCAGATATGGGGGTGGGGGCGGGGGGAGAAGAGTGCTCATCTCTAGCATCTAGTGCACCCCTACTCATATTCCTTCCATCTAGAAAATACATGGTGAAGCAAAGGGAGTCAGATGGAATGGAAAATACAGACTGGAAAGATTATTTTTTCTTTTTCAAAACTTTTCATCTAGAGGCTAATGAATATAAACATATTAAACATTCATATTTTTAAATAGGGAATACCTATAAAAGATCTAAGTCCCAGAGAAATTGTTTTATGATAACATCTTGTGTTAAAAGCTAATTTCTATTGATATTATCGCATAGCCACCATAGTTAAAGTTATTACTTGAAATAATATTTCTTTAGCCATCATTATCATCAAACTCATCATTCATGTTCCCGGATTCCCTGCCTTCCTGTGTAGTTTGCTATGTCCCTGGACCCCTTTCCCATCATTAACTTAGTAATTTCTTCCAATATCACTTTAATGGCTGGACAAATACATGTCTCTGTTTGGTTTCTCCCCCTCCAACAGGAAAGGAAAAACAAGATGCTTCGGAAGGAAATGGAGATGCTATGGAACAAGGTGTGCCTCTAAGGATCTCTTGAAAGTATTGTTGCGGATAATAATGGAAAGAACTTCCAATTCCTCTGGTCCCAGATCCTCATTTTTTTCATCTCCATACCTCCACTCATATTTCATTCTAATCCATTCTTTGTATAGCAAAGTAATCATTTTTAAACAATAAAAATATGACATTCTTCTGATAACTGTTATATGGATAAGGAGTATGACTCAAATGTTAGAATGCCTGGCTAACAAGTACAAGGCCTTAAATTCAAACCCCAGAACCATCGAAAGCACGGATAATGAGAACAAAAACACAACATTCTTATTGCAGCATAATCTGGCTTCTCTATGGTTTCTCAAAATGGCAAGTTTTTTCCTATTTCTAAACTTGGATTTACTTCCTGTCTATAATGTTATTTTTATTGTTCTTGCTTTATACTTTGTGTGTACGGGTGTGTGTGTGTGTGTGTGTGTGTGTGTGTGTGTGCATATGCGCATGCTGGGCTGACTTTGAACCACAATCCTCAGACCTCTGCCTTCTGAATAACTAGGATTATAGGCATGAGCCATCAGCCCTCAGCCATTTGGTTCATTCTTATCCTTCAAGTCTCAGGTGAAATACCCCTTCAGAGAAGCCCTCCTGTTTGTACTATGTAAAATACAGTACCTCCCCCACTTTGTACTACCTACCTCTGTGCAGGTCTTTCATGGCACTTTATGATGTAAACTTGTAATTTTATTATGTTATTTTTATTACTCATTTCTTATCCTTTTTCTCCCCTTTTGGGTATAACTTTTTCCAGTACCTTGACTGCTTTGTCTGAATTGCTAACACCCATCACAATACTTGGAACACAGTAGACAATAACTGAGTAAGCTGAATGAATAAACAAACGAATAACTAACTGAATACCCCCATGCTTTTATAACAATCAGAGAACTGTTTAAGATAACAATAGTATGGCCTTTTGCAGAATCAAGGAGAAGAAAGTCCTTGAGGGACCAGTCCTTGGAATCTGAGTGCTTTTTTATACTATGCATCTAGAAGAGTGAATTGTGTCCTGTGATATAAACATTTGGGTGGTATGATGTCTGACTGCTTTTTTTCATCTCATTTTTTCACAAATAATCAACACAAATAGCTTAACCTCCTCATGTCTCAGTTTTCTCATCTATAAAATGGAAATAAAAAGTGGTCAAAGAGTTATATGGACTAAAGAAGTATCAAAAAGCAATAAGGTAGTTTAAGTAATAGTGAAGTAGCTTAGTGTAGTGATCGCCATTTTAATACAGTTTGATTAATAGCTTTTGTAATTATAAGGTAAACTTAGTGGACAAAATGGAAGAGCTTATTCTGAATTCCCTTTGGTAGGTAGGACAATTTCCATTTTGGGCCTCAAGAAGTTGCTGACACTGGCAAGATGATTATGGTTTTCCACTTTCTCCCCATTCTCACCAAAAGTTTTGCCCAAATGTCCATCCACAGACATTCGAGACAGAAGAGGTTCATGATCAACAAAACGCAGCACAGATAAAACCTAAGACAGATTTACAGGAGAGAAAGGCAAGTAGACTACATGTACTTAGAATTTTATGATTGTTGATGTCACACCACTGGAAATAACCTAATGATAGAGCTAGTTTTGCTAGTAAGATAATTAGGACCAGGGCTTAGCGTATACTGAATTTATGGTTGGTCAAGACATTGCACTTTTTTCTAGGACCTTCTATTCCTTTAGCTCTTTCCCTTCATCCCAGGTTCCCACATTCCCCTCAGTTATGCAACCCAAAAGTGAACTGGAGATCAGTTACAGAGCAAGTAAAAGAGAAAAAGAAGGTAGTACAATCAATCATTCTGAACAGTAGTAGCCTTTGGAGATAATAAGGTAGTAGGAATCTTCCTAAGTTATGGTGTGCTCCCAAACCAAAGTAGATTTTTATAAGCAGTATGGTACTCCCAAAGTAACTGAATCAGAGTGGTATCACAAAGTTTCTGGGAACTCATAGCACAAATTGTGTTACGTATCATAAAGTGAGAAAAATTATGCCAGCATTGACAATTCCACAATAGCTATGGGATGTCAGAACATTTGTTCATTTGCCTTGGAAAATTTATTTGAAGGTGTCACATTTGCATCTCATCTTCCCATTACCAATTCTTTCACAGAAAATGACCTATCAATTATCCTTTAGCTTTTAAAGAGGGGATTATACAAAGGAAGCAATTACAGAGGCTTGTATGGTTGAAATTAACTTAATAGAGAATCTATGACACCATAATTTTGCTATAAGGTAATTGTAGCATATTGAGAAAACTGATTTTTTTATTTTGATTTACTTTGTCACCCAGAGGCTCTTTCTTCCACCAGGAAAAGCAACAGAGGAAGATGGAATGGGTCAGGTACCAGGAACAAGCCAACATCTTTCAGGTACTAGGATTTTCCAAGGCTAAACATGGGATGCATTTCATTCATACAATATAAAGGCTTTAGCTTCATATGTTAAGCCATGTTCCCTTATCATGGGTTACCAATTGTGCTGCTTTAAAAAATATGATAGTCAAAGGGGGAGAGAGTAAAGGATAGGGTGGTAGTAGGTGGGACATGTGATCTGAGTACATTTTATATATACATGAAAAGAAAGTGAAACCAACTAAAAACTGCCCCAAAAGGGGTGGTGGTGGAAAGGGGTTAAAAGTAATATAAGTATAAATTTGATCAAAGTCCATTATATACATATATATTTGGAAATATCACAATGAACCCCTTTTGCACAATTTATCAAGAAATAGCAAAAAAGATATTGCTGAGATAAAGATGTCTAGAGGCACATTGTACATTTTTTATTCGACCAATATAAAATTTTATAAACCACAAAAAGAAATGTATCATGAGGAGATGCTAGAGTGACCTATCTATATTTTACATCAAGTAACTTGGAATAAATACCATTTCTTCCTGTTCTTGATTTTTCTTCCATGTGACATAAAGGGAAAATAACAACTGTTCAATTTTAAAAGACTGGGGACATTATTTTTAAATTTCTGGATAAAGAACATTTAGGTAACCGTGGATTTAGGGAGGCCAACATTATATGAGGAATTTTGAAAAATATCCTCTTTTAGAATGACTTTCATGGCAAAGTGATTGAGCTGAGAATCGAAGCCTTGAAGAACTACCAGAAGGCCAATGACCTGAAATTATCACTGTACTTACAGCAGACTTTTGAGCCAAAGCAAGCATTTTTAAATCTTCCGAGGTCCCAAGGTAGGAAAAATAACATAGGTTCACAGTCTGAGGTTTTATTTTGTTCATTAACATTAGAGATCTCATTACTTATAATGTGAGCATCATAAAGCCTAGCCCACAATAAGTTATATTTAGTAGTATAATAATACATATTTTCACTATCATCATTATTAATATCACTCAGAAGCTCTTCTACCAAGGTAAGGATTCTCTCTGGTGAAATTAAAATGTCCTTTGTAAAGATGAAGTAATATATCAGTAGTATATATAAATACTAACACAGATGACACTCAGAAAGTATTAGCTTCTTTCTCACCTTTTCCCTTTTCCTAGAAGTTATAGTTGTTTGTTCTCCTTAATCTTATTTGCTTCAGGGCTGAAGTCCAAGGAAATAGACATTAGATGATGGTTTTAAGTTTCAGATGTTCCTCTGGGAAATCCAGTGAGTTCCCTTAGACTTTATGGTATCATCACAGGAAATCACATAGTGTTCCATTAAAAATATAATAAAGTAATGGACTGAGAATCAGGGAAAAGATTCTTAAATGTTCATGTATCTATGGATCTAAATTCTGCTTGAAAAGGGACATGCATGGGAAATTATAGCCAAGGGTGTCAATGACCTATGAGTATCAGTATGTATGTTTCTACTCCAAAAATGGCTTGAATGACTTGGAACACTCACACACAGTATGGGAGATTAAATAGTTGAGAAAGTCAAGGAAAGGGAAAATAAATTGAAACTAGGTAATATACATGATAATCATACTATGGTTGGTAGAGGTAGGCTATACATTTCATTCTGAATTTCCAGTAAAAGGAAACATAGATTTGCAGTGTACACAAGGTAGTGATGATTGCTCTAGAGAAACAAGCTCTTCCTGTACTAAAACCTAAGCAAAATTTCTCCTCTAGGACTTCATAGTAATTGTAGGACTCTGTGATGATAAAAGTATTTCCATCAATGCTTTTAAAAACAAATTCAGAATCTAAATATTCTAGTCTTTTTCTTATCTGTTCCTTGGCACCATATAATGACACACTATTAATTTGACAAAACAAAATTAAAGAGATAGACTAACTAAGATACTTTGTTCCAGATACATAGTATTATGCCTTAATGAACAGGTACAATTTAGAAAATCTAGAAAACCATCTACTTATCCTTTAGTCAGAGTTCCATACATATTTTTCTTTCAATTTATGTTTTGAGAAGGATTGGACATCAGGAAGTTGGATATAACTTGAAATGCAACCAGAGGTAGTATACAGTTCTTAGGTTACAAACTTAAATGATAGAATATAGTCTCATTCAAAGTTAGCCCAAGGTTATATCTAGAGATTCAGAGAATAAAGATTCAAAAGTTTTATTTACTCAAGATTTCAGACAAGCTCAGCTTAATATATAATCAAAGTTTCCATTCAGTTTGAATTCCTCAATAGATTTGCCATCAGCAGAATACTGAATCACTTGGAGTTGGGACAACACATACATCAACACATTCCCCTCCTTTCTCTCCTTTTTTGCTCCTGGTGAATTGATAGGGTGCTACACTGTCACAAATTAATGTAGCTACAGGCATGAATGACCCATTTGTCTTATGTTTTATTGAGTGTGCACATTCGTTGAGCTAGTTATCTTTTGGAACACACATATTAAAAATCTTTGGCTTTGTTTAAGCTCAAATGGGTCCAAAATCTAACAGAGTCCTAAAGTTTGGTTATTAAAAATAAGATAAATGTTAAATGGAAGAATTTTGAGATTTATCTTTTTTTCTTTTTCTTTTGTCAGTCATGGGGCTTGAACTCTGGATCTGGGCGCTATCCCTGAGCTCTTCAGCTCAAGGCAAGCACTGTACCACTTGAGTCACAGTGCCATTTCTGGTGGTTTATTGAAGAGTCTCATGGACTTTCCTTCCCGAGCTGGCTTTGAACTGTGATCCTCAGATCTCAGCCTCCTGAGTAGCAAGGATTATAGTTGTGAGCCACAAGCACCTGGCTGAGATTTATCTTTTTTAGAGATTAGCATCAACAGTGATATGGAAAGTATTGAAGGGTACTCAGTTCCCTAACTTTATCATCTGGCTTCTTGTTTAATATCTCCTGTTTAAATTGACTTTTCTCATAATGTATTTCTTAAAAGTAAAATGTATGCTATTGAATAAAGAACTAATATTTTTCCAGAATATAAGTAAACTAAATAAAAAATGGATGAAATCAAAATTTTACAATTCTTACAAGATGCTCAAGTCTGAACTTTCTTTTACTGCTGCTGAAATGTAAGATTAACAAGACAAAGGTGGACTGGAGGCAAGGCTTAAGTGATGAAATACCTGCTCCAAGCTCATGTTTAAGCCCCAGTACCATCAAAACCAAACAAGACATAGGTAATTAAAAAAACAAAATAAACATTGACTTTCTCCATGGATACCATCAAGTTTTAAAGCACTTAAAAAGGGAGTGATTTTCTTTTTAGGTTTTATAGTACTTAATATTGTGTTCAAGCACATCCTAAATCTATCCCTGTTGTTTCCTAAAATTCTTTCATGACCAAATTTTGAGAAGTTGCAATTTCATTGGAAAAGCACTGGATTTAGAGTCAGATAGATACATGATGTCGGCCTTACTCTGAAATCTAGTGGTGAACATGATTTGGTTCATTTGGTTTCAGGTTTTTCTTATTATAACATAAAATATTATAGAGAATGCTGAAAATTTCTCTGAGTGACCTCTTAAAAGGACCCTATGGGATAGGAATCATAGAATAAAAAATAAACTCAGGAAAGATTTCTGACTCCATTGTCAAAGCTTAGCTTATAGATTGTCCAATAAAATGGCAGAGATAAAGTGTGATGTTTTTATGCTTCTTCCATTACTAAAAACTATGATTTGAACGAAAACTTGTTTTAAGTATCATCCCAATGAAGAATCATATTCTCTAAGTAACCTTCGATAAGAGAGAAAACATGGTTACAAATTAATTGAGTGATTTGTGATTTTTCATTGAGTCCAGTAGGTGGCACCAACCACATCCATGCTCCAAATTCAGCACAAATAGTGGTAATTTAGGAACCCTCAAGTGGTATGAAAGATTGGTCATTACCCTTAGGATAAAATGTGCCATACTTACATACAAAAGTAAAAAAAAAATCACAATTTACTGCTATTTTGTGCACCAAGATGCATTATAGATCCTTCATTAAATCACATTAAATTCTACTGCATGATTCTTATCTATTATTCTACTCTCTGAATTATAGTTCTTTTCATTAAAAAGGTTTTTAAAATTTTTATTTTAAAAGTTTTTTATTGTCATGGTGATGTACAGAGGGGTTATAGTTACATAAGTTCGTTCTTTGTCAAACTTGTTACCCACTTCCTCATTTTTCTCCTACTTTCCACTAAAGCTGGTGGAAAAAGAAAAGTCACTGCCCCTTTCTCTACAGTTCTTGTCAAATACTATTTTTCTCTACCACCAACAAACGAGGTGATTAGGAGACTGACGTTAAAAGAGCTGGACAATTCCAAGGTTAATTACTTAATAGTGTTTCTGTGTTCCTTTTCTTCTAGCTTCAAAAGAATTGTTGTATAAACCTGTCTTAAAGAAAGAGTGAAATGTCAGTTAGTAAACAACTAACAGCAAGTCAGGGTACATGCCCTTCTGTTCTAGACCATTTTCTAGTAAAGAGAGGTTTTGCTCCAGGGCTCTTTGCCAAAAATCTCTCCTCCCTGTCCAGTGCCAAAAATCTCTCCTCCCTGTCCAGTGTGCTGATTCGCTGAGTTGAAGTAGTGTGATTTATTTGGTTGGCAAATATTAGTGACTACTCAAAATTTCCTTGAGACTAGAATGTAGCGCTTTTTTTTTTCTTGTTTACAACTTGGATATAAACACCCAAGTTTTCCCCTTTTGTTCTCTTCAGAGACAGGTCATGTTTGGAGGATTTACTTTCCCAACCACTGTAAAATTATAATTTCATCTAGGATGAATGGGAGTCTTCCCTGACTTTTTCAGCATCAAGAGAGCAATTTGTGGCCCTTGACAGCCACCTATCTTAAAGAACACAGGCAGTAAGCAATTTCTAAATTCAGCTGAATTACACTCATCATACCTGCTGTTGTTTAAAGAGGAGATTTATCTTCAGTGAGAATATGGCTTGAAATAAAATATTTGATTGTGACAACCCTACTGTTTTCTTACCCACTCTCAACTCAATATTTCCATAAGCTATTTGAAGAGAAATGGAAAGTTCTCTTTTGTGAAGAAACTGAAAGTTAGATGTGGACATTGTGCTACATTCAGACAAAAGCCCAGTGAGATGGGAAATTAATACTCTTGAGACTTTACTTACTCTATAACCTTCTGTTCAGAAAGCAAGTCACTCCTCTTACCTTTAACCTTTACTTCTTTTTAATATTAGTCTCTCTCATGGCTGAAATATACTTCAGCAGGTGTGGCTGAAGGGAAAATAATACTGATGAGTTAAAATGCTGAAAAGCAGGGGAGGAAAATCACAAAAAGCTCAAGTCTGGGTACTTGATAAGTAGTATTGCTCTCAATTATAGGCATTTTTAAGCTTTGAGGCCATCTGAACCTTTTCCATATGGAAGATTTATGGTATCAGTAGGTAATGAAGCTAATTTCTAAGCTAGGTTAACATTTTGCTTTCCATAAACCTTACAGAAGTCTAGGGATAGACAAGAATAAAATCCACTTCCACTGAAATTAAAATTTGAAGATTAAATAATCGAACTTCCCTTCATTAATGGGTGACAAGAGATTCAACTTGCTTGTATCACACACTTAGAAGAGGAACAGTATAGGGTTGTCATATTTATAAGTGTACTTACTTTTAGGGCCCCAAGGTAGGAAAGACTCATAACTGGACCTATGTAGCACCCATTGTTTGCCCTCTTTCTCCCTCTAATGCCTCTCCCCTCAGTATGAACCTTAATTCCTTTTGCCTCCTTTTTCTCTTCCCTCACCGCACCTTTATCTTTTGTTTGCACATGTATGGAATTTGTCTGTGTTATCTGAAGATGTGTAAATGTGTACATGATTTATTATTCTTTTTCATTTAAATGTTTTAGAACATTTTGTAGACTGTCAATGTTGTTTTAACTAGCATGTAATCTTCAAATGATTATCTTTCTATGGGACAAGCTTTCAACAACAAAAAAAAATCCACCACTCCAACTTTAAAATATTATTTGAAGTTATTTTTTAAAGCAACAATTAGTAATTTCATATTAATGCTAATATCAGTCAGTGCTAAATATTTGAAAACAGTGTGATGTTAATAGCCTTGTGTATTGGTTTTGTTAATCTCAAAGTTAGTGTTTTCTTTCAAAAGTGGCTTTTATTTTTCAAATGTTTTCCACTAGGTACTATGGGTAACACAAACAAGCGCAGAGCAACTACTGAAAAAAATGAACCCAATGTGGTAAGAACAACTTCTTTTTAAAAACAAAAACAAAAAACCACCGTATTAATTAATTAATTAATTCCTTCAGTTTTAGTGATGGAACCCAGGGTCTTAAGCATACTAGGAAAGCATTCTGCCACTGAGCTGCACCACTCCCGACTATGCTGCAATGCATTTGTTAACATGAATTCTAATGTATTGTTTTTAAGATATTTTTAAAATGAGTATTAGGACATGCAACGTTTCACCTCTTTTTCTTTTTCACTTTCTTTTTTCTCCCATTTTAGAGAATTATGGGATCAAAGACCTACATAGAACAACAAGAAGCTACAGAAACTCAGTCTGATGATGTAGGAGAGAGGCTCTTTATTCTGAGGTCACTGCCAGAAGAAGCTCTGAAGGATTAGAAAGCTCTCATTCAATTTGCTTTGGACTGATTTAAAGACAAAGTACAGTCATTTGTGTTAATTAAAATCTCCCAAACCTTTGTTTTCAGTGCTGTTTTTCCTCTCTCCTACCACCAATCTGGGTAGAAACATTAAATGTGTGGCCTTAGGCATATCAGGAATTTAGTCAATGGTAAACAGCTTCTGATTATTTTGATCACTTTTGGATCTGATGATTTAAATCACATTGTATATAGTTAAATCCACAGAAAAGAGTTCTCTTTCTTGGATTTAACCTTAAGAAGATATAGTGCTGGCAGATAAGCATTAGATGAAAAAATAAAAAGAAAATTATATTCCCTAGACTGCTCTTACTTTCCTACCAACCACAACCACATTCAATTGCTCTACTGATTCTCTTTATTTATTGAAATGTGTGTGTGTGTATGTGTGTGTGTGTACATGCATCAGTACTTAAGAACTTTTTCCTCTTGCTTGGCTTTCTTGCTCATGGCTATCACTTGAGCCATGACTCAAGCCTGACATTTTGATATTGTTTTTGGAGATGGAATATCAAGACTTAAAAAAAAAAATCTGGGCTGGCTTTCAGCCTATTCATTAGATCTCAGTCACCTGAGTAGTTAAGACTACAGGTATAATCACTAGCACCTGCTATTCCTTGACTATCTCCCACCCCTCTGTTTTAGTTCAAGTCCTCTTTATTACCACTGCTTTATAATTGGTTCTCCTGCTTCCAGGACCTCTAATCCATCTTTCATGGTACCACTAAAGCTATCTTTTCTAAAAGAGAAATGAGGTCATGTCACTTCCCTACTGGTTTCTCACTGACTTTACTCCTTCATAGGCCATAAATGGTCTGCCCCATGCCTCCCTTCCAGCTTATCCTTCACTTTTCCCCTCAAATCATACATTCTACATTCTATGGAACAATTTACAGTTCCCAACATACGGTGAGAGCCATTATCCCTATACCCAAAGCTGAAAGACTCTTCTTGTGATCATCCTTAAAGACTAAGTTTGGTATTCTTTTCTACCCCAGTGATTCTCAATCCTCAGTGTATGTTAGCATTCTTTGTGGATTTTTGAAAGATAGCATTTCACTGTGCCATCCGACCTGATTTACATTATGATCTCTCAGTGTAAGGAAAAAATATCTGTAATCTGAAAAACAAAAGATTCCTGGGAAATTTTAATGTGTAGTCGGGTTTGAGAATCATTGTTCTCAGTTGTCTTCTATCATAGCACTAGTATATTGCCATTACTTTTACTCAGTTGTCTTTTTCACCAGGTGGTGAGCTCTTTAATGCACATGACAATGTCTTGTTCATTTCATTTTTACCAGCTAACACAGTGTCTAAGAAATAACAGCTCAGTTAAGTGATACTGTAAAAAGGCCACAGAGAGTTAATTGCCAAGTATCAGGTCTCTTGATGCTCATCTTGTGGATTATTTGTAGTTACTAAAATCTTCAGATCTTTTCATTTACTGTGATTAGCTTGGCAGTTCTTTCCTATCCCATGTCAAAGAACATTCCATAGCCCATATGTATCCGTTACAGTTTGGAGAAAATGTCCTAGGCAGGCTCATTTGTTGAAAAAAAAAACAACTTGGGTCTCTAGCTGGTGGTAGTAGCTTGGTTATGAAGCCTTTAGGAGGTAGGATCTAGCTAGAGGAAAGAGATCACAAGGGGTATGCCTTTGAAGGTTATGCCTGGTCTCTGTTTCCTCTCTGCTTCTTGTTCATGAGAAAACAAAAAGTCTCCCCTGTCACACTTCCATGTCCATGTTCTGCCTAAGTACAGGGACCCAAGCAACTACACTGAACATTTCAAACTTTGAGCCAACATAATTCTCTTTTAAGTTGTTCTCCGAGGTATTTTGTCACAGCTATACAAAACTAAATAGAAATCCTTTTCTAGTAATAGGCAAAGCCAATCTTTCCCAACCCCCAAGGTCAGTTTGTCTTTAAGTACATATTTTAAAGGCTTTAAAATTTTTTTAGTATGTACAACTTTTAAACAAGGTGATGTACAGGGGGCTTGTTGTTTTTCAATTCTTATTATTGCTGTTTATGCACACAGGGTTTGAACTTAGGGTTTCATGCTTGTCGAACTGACTGAAGCTCTACCTCTGTAGCTATGCCTCTGGCCTGGGTTTTTGCTGGTTCTCTTTGAGATGACTTTTCTAGAAGAAGCCATAGAATTCTGGTATTTGAAAGGAATTTTAGATAAGTATGAAGTTCCTTCACTTTACAGAAAAAAAAGAAATTGTGGAGTTCAGATACACTGAAAAGATGTCCAAAGTTCCACAGCTAGTTCAAGCCAGAACTGGTTACCAGAGCCTAGATATTATGACTAACAGCTCATATTCCAGTCTAACTTGTATTTTTCCCCTGATGACAACAAAACTAAGACTCTAAAGCCTTAAGATGATTAGTTTCATGTTCTGCTGACTAAGTCAGTTGAGTATGTAATCTACATTGTTTCAAGATATACTTACATGGTCCCTGAGAGACTTTGGCTGTCCTGAAATTTTCCAAATCAACTGAATTAAGGCATCAATAAGAACAAAAGAAAAAAAAATAAAACAACAATTTCTACCTTGAATTAGTCATTAACTGAGGAACATGGATAACCCATTTAAAGACTTGATTAAAAGCACAGTGACTGAATGTATTTTATGACTACACTGAATTTAGATTAGTATGTGATCTCCACCTCTACAATTCTTTGTTGTTAATTAAGGCATTAAGTAAGCTAGTTTATTCTTAAATTTTCATTATTTTTAAATAATGAATCCCATAATTTTACATTATGAAATGTAAGTGCATTATCCTTCAGGGTTATCACCAGTCCTTCAAACGCTCCACAAACACAACACAAAGATAAAATATTATACCTATTTTTAATCCTGCTTAAGATTACACATTGTACTCTTTCACCTATGGAAATTCAGGTTATCTGTCAAATTGGCTAGCTACTTATCAAATTGTGCCAATGGTTTCATAAATAAGGGATATGGATCTCAGCTTTATGAGCACAAATTTGTCAACTGATCCAAAAGATCAGACCTAGTCATGCTATTCAGATTCAAGAGATTACCTGATAAACCAAATATTAATTTAACTTACAGAGAGAATTATAGCTTCTAATTTGGTGGAATATGTCTATACTTAATATCTAGAGCATTCTCATCTCTCCATAAAGTCACAGGAAACTGAAATAATCAGCAGGAAGTATTTGGAGGCAGAAGCATCATTATTTTTGCTTTATTTATACTTACAATATTCCAATTATGCTTTGTTGAAAATAAAATACCTGACATCTTTGTACTTGGGAGACACTTTTCAATGTCAATACCAACTGAAGAAAAATACTGTCCTTTCAGCAATACATTTATAAACTATACCTTTGGGTGGTACTATTTTTGTGGCTTATCTCATTTTCTTGCTTTTTTAAGCCATTTAGAGGATATTTACTCACACCTATCCCCAAAGTTGACTTTCTGCAATGACTACAAAGCAACCAGTATTGTTTGATACACTACATGAAATAATGCTAATAACAGCCTGATACTTCCATCTTTAGAACTACAATTATCAGAAGGAAAGATATTTGGAAACCAATTAATAATTTAAGAAAAGCATATTTTTGATTTGTAGAAAAATTCATTTAAACTCAATTCATGTCAATTTTTAGATCAGGGAGAGAGAGAGAGAGAGAGAGAGAGAGAGAGAGAGAGAGAGAGAGAGAGAGAGAGAGAGAGAGTGTGTGTGTGTGTGTGTGTGTGTGTGTGTGTGTGTGTCTATTGTTTGTCTCCTAATAACTGAAGAAATGGTAAAGAGCCCTCTTCAGAAATTAAATAGAAATATCAATTGAGACATCAGTGAACAAAAGGTTAAGTAGGAAACAGCAGCTCTCAGTAACACTATGGATACCTGTAGTTCACACTGTTGAAGAATCTTACAGTTCCCAGCAACTCCAGACTAGAGTGCCTATAGTTCACATAACTTCACACTACCTTGAAAAAGGAGTTGACGTTGTGTACCACTACTACCACCATCCTGTTCCTAACCCAATCTGTTCTGTATAGCACCTTTTTGACACTGGTGCCACAGTAGAGTGTACTGCTCCAGGAAATAAACTTTTAAGAGGCAGTCACCACTCATATCCCAACCAGCACAGTTCCTCAGCCCTGGTGTTTTTGGATCCTAACTCCAGTACTGATTCACACAGTACTCCTTTCTCCAAAGGAACAGGCAGCTCTGTCTAGCAGGAGGTTGGGCCCAGAATGATCACATACAAATAAATACTAGTCAGATTCACTTTTCTAAGACCAGTTCCACAGCCATCTAGAGCTGGAAAGACAAACCTAACAAATTCCTACAGCCAAACCCACCAAGACATTACAGGCATAGATGATAATCACTATCGCTGAAAAAAAGCGGCACAAAAACTATACTGCTACACAAAGACTACCCTACTCAACTAATATCCTAAGATACATCTAGAGAAAAATCTCTATGAAAACCACTCTATAAAACTGGAAGAAGTGACCATTCTATCAGATGCATATTACTTAACACAAGGACCCAAGAAAAATAAAAAAACAAGTAACCATGATACCACCAAAAAAGTATGATAATCTTTCCACATACTAGGCAAGTGCTCTACTACTGAGCTTAATTCCCAACCCAACTAAAACGTTTTTTTTTTTTTTGGTGCTAGTCCTGGGGATTCAACTCAGGGCCTGGATGCTGTTCCTGAGCTGTTTTGCTCAAGGTCAGTGTGCTACAACTTGACCCACAACTCTACTTCCAGCTTTTTTGGTGGCTAATTGGAGACAAGAGTTGCTAGGATGTCTTCCTGCCCTGACTGGCTTCTAGCTATGATCTTCAGATCTCGGTCTCCTGACTGGCTAGGAATATAAGCATGAGCCACTGGCATCTGACCAACTAAAACATTTTTAAGGTGAGCTCAAGAATACAGAAAAAAAAAGAGTGAAGGGTGAGTGATAGAGTGAAATTGATTAGAACATATTGTAAATGCATGGAAATGTTACAATGAAATCCTCCTCTGTATAACTAATGGAAGCTACTAAAAATTAGTAAAAAAAAAAAAAAAATAAAGAAAGAGAAAAGAAAGAAAAGTTTATCACTACAGAAACCCATAAAGAAAAACATTAAGGGAAGAGGAAAGGAACAAAACAATAAAAAAATTAAGATAATGGCAGGAGTCCTTACCTGCCAATGATAACGCTGAATATAAATGGAACAATTTCTCCAATGAAAAGATACAGACAAGCTAGATTTGAAAAAATATGCAGAACCTAACCATATGTTGCCTACAAGAAACTCACTTCCTCCCTAAAAGCAGAGGCTGAAAGTAAGGGAACAGAAAATGATATTCCATGCAAATACTAGCAAAACAAGAGCAAGAGTAGTATACTTATATGAGACAACAATAAACTTTAAGTTCAAAACCACTATATAATGACAAAGGGATTAGTTCAACAAATGGATATAACAATTATAAATACTCATACTGTTCGTACTCAATACACTAGTAGTTCAGTATATAAAGCAATTAGTATTAGTTCTAAGTGAGAGTTAGACTGCAATGTGCTAACAGTAGAGTACCTCAACACTCTAAGCAATAGGCAGATCATTCAGTCAGAAAATAAACACTGGATTTAAACTCAACTCTAAACCAAATGCACCTAACAGATGTTTATGGAACATTCTATCCTACAGCTGTAGTATTGACATTTTCCAGACTATATCCTAAGTTAGCCTATAAAACCATCTGAAACAAATTTAGGACAATTGCAATCGTTTCAAGTATCTTTTCTGACCCTAATGGTATAAAGTTAGAAACCAACAAGAGGATAAATTTTATAAATACTAGCTGAAACTTATTTTCTTGAACTAATGGGTAAAACAAATTAAAAATGAAAATTAATTTATTATACTTTTTACTTAAAGAACACTTAGTCTATCACTTTCAAGTCTAAAACTTAAGTTCACAGAACCTGTTAGTGGGCACGGTTAAATCTCTAGAAGTTCAAATATTTTTTAATCATAAAATTTCAGTATGTGGTAGAGGATAAAGATAGAAATCAACTTCCTGATCTTCATCTTTGAGATAAAGAAAGTAATCTTTTTTGGACATGCCCATCTGTCTCCTCATTTGAAATCAGTTAAGATTCTCATGGCTATCAGGATCTATTGTGGTAATTATGGGAAGTGAGTTAATGATCTGGCTGTTACATCTCCTCACAATTTTATCCCACCTAAGTTTCATCCGTCTCCTTTGTACTTCATTACTGAATGAAATACATAATGTGACTCTCCAGACAACAGAATGATTTCGTGTTCCAACTGGTACAACATTTGCAACCATTGAATAGGTTCTGAGACTTTGTGTCCAAAGGATGATAATTATACTTTTCTTGATACTCCACTTTTCATTTTTATGCTTTCAAGTTTTATTATGGCTGATAAAAAAAAACGTGCTGGGAAAGAAAAAATACGTGTGTATACACATACACATATATTCACAAGTGGAAAGGATCAGAAAAAGGCAACTAAGACACCTACACGAAGTGGCCGCAGGTAATTAATATCTCATTAAAGGGACACAAAAGTCCACAGAAAGATGTCTTATCCCATCATACTGAAATGAAACTCAATTGCCATGGCAACTGATGGAGGTTCAGTCGGAAGAAACATGTCCTTCTCTAAGTAGATAGATGTTACAGCAGAGGTGGTGGTGGCCCAGGAAGCTTACAGCCTCACGAACGGTGGGACAGAGGAAAGAAAGAGAAGAGCCAGGAACCTGCTCTAGATGCCCTGCCAGACCCCCAAGCTTCACCTGTGGGGTTCCTCTCTTAGGAACTGTTTGGAGAGGGGATCCCAAAGCGAGGTGAGGCAGACATACTCTAAAGAGGGCGAGCTGACCGAGGAACAGGCGGCTGAGGCGGGACAGACCTCCCTCTTCGCCCACGGCCGGTTCTGTGGGCCACCCACACGGCTTCCCTGAAGCCACCTCGAGGTTCTCCCGTGCCTTCCACCGGGTGGCCCACCGCTTTCGAGAGCTGCGGGGAGGGACCGGGAGTGCCCAGCCACTCCGGGTCTCCGGCGCGCGCGCCACCCTCCAGGCGGTCCGCCGTCGGGAAGGCCGGCCCGTGGCGGCCGGGAACGCACTCGGTATCAGCTCGGCGGGGGATTGCTTCTGCCTGGGGCCCGGCGGAGGCTGCGTTCGTGCCTCGCGCGCACCCGTGCCGCGTTCTCCCAGCCAATCCGGTGTTACTCGCGCGCCCAGGAGCGTTCCCGGGTCCTCCACAGGCTGGGCCGGCTCCTTCCCGTACTCCGCACCCCCAGCGCTCCTTCCTCCCCTCACTCTCCACGAGTTGCACGCCACGGGTGTAGCTCCGCCCCCGCCACCCCCCGAGCTTGTGCTCCCTTTTCCTCCCAGTCCCCCGCCGTCCAGGCGTCCGGGGTCTCACACGCCGCACCGCCACCGGCTTTCTCTCTCTCTCTTCACGGGCCTCGGTCCGCCGCCTCCGCGCGCTCGGCTCTCCCAAGGCTGCCGCCGCGTTCCCCGCTCCCCCCCCCCCCCCCCCGAACCCCAGCTCGCCTTTCCCAGCCGGCCTCGGGGTCGCGCGCCCCAGCTCCGCCTCCTTCGCGGACCCGCGCACTCCTCAGCGCGGCCTGCCCCCCTCCCCCAGCCCCACGCCGGCCACTGGGCGCTCCGCCGCCGCCTCCTCGTCCACCCGCTCGCCTCGCGCTCCTCGGGCGCCCTCGCTCTCGCGCTCTCTGAGGCGAGCGCGCTCCCGGCCCGCGCGCTCCGGGCTCCGGCTTTCTCCCGGCTCCTGTCAGTGCGGTGACTGCGCTGGGAAACATGGCGACCGAGGGAATGATCCTCACTAACCACGACCATCAAATTCGCGTCGGAGTCCTCACAGGTAACCGCGGGGAGGGGAAGGAAGTCCTGGCCCCGCTGTGGCCACGCTGTTCCCGGCTTGACGGGGGCTTGTGGCTTGTGCTGGCCTTCCTCTGCGGCCTCGGGAAAAGGGGAAAGGCTGGGGAAAAGGGGGTCCGGGGGAGGGGGGGTGCATTTTACAACCGCCGAGCGATGCTGGAGGTTGGGGTGTTCCCGCGTGTTCCCCCAGGCGCCGGGGCCGGCCCCCGTGAGAGGTGTCAGGCCCCCAGCGACTTCGCCGCCTAAGTCCCCAGCCCCCGGGGGACCGAGGGGCCGGTGCGGCGGGCGCTGCGGGGCTTCGTGCTGCAGGTGCAGGCGGCGGGATCCCGGCTCCGCAGTCCAGAGCACGCCGCTCGGGGGCCGGCGGGGTGCGTCCTCCGCTGATGCTCTTCCTGCGAGTGGGGAAACCCCATCTCCACCCTCCTCCCCTACCCACGGCCCCACGCCGGCCCCGGCCCGACCTGCCCCGGGCACCGGCCGGACACGACTTGGGTGTGGAGAAGGCGAAACTCTGCTCCGCCTCCGGCTGCCCCTGGCGGGCCGGGTATCCCTTCAGCCGCCCGCGGGACAACCCTGGCCTCCCCCCTCCCCGCCCCCACTCCCCACACACCCGGGAGCTGGGGGACCGGATTGCGTCCGGACCTCAGAAAGTCTGCATTCAGCCTTTCCTAGCAAAAGGGCCCTCTGTCTGCCTTCTTTTCCTTCGTGAGGACTGGCTGCAGCCTGCGGCCGGGGGTTCCAGCCCTTTTTACTCGAGAGGAAAGGGTTTCCTCTTTGGGGCTCCTCTCTCCCCCTCCCTCCTGGGAACCCCCTGCTCCCCACCCCCGGAGGATGGTACTGAGGCTGGCGAGGAGAGTACTTTTCCCGGGTCGCCTTTCCCTCCCTCGCGAAAGTCGTGTGTGCTCTGCATGTCTGATTCCGTTGCGTTGTATTTGGGTAATATCCCCGAGTTTGGCGATAGGCGGTTGCTGCAGGGCACGACTTCCAAGATGAATAGCTAGCCGATTTGTAGAGGTTTCTGCCGTGGTTCTGTAGTTGGCGAGATGTATGTGTTAACTGAGTGGCGTGGCAAGGGTTAAAGAACTATATTTGGAATCCGAGGGCTTAGTTTGGAGTGAAGGAAATCCAAGACTCACTGATGTGATTTTGGGGAAAGAAGCGCTGTAGACGGGAATCCGAGTGTCTCCCATGCTTGTTTTATTATTCTTTTTTCCTTTGTCAAATTCTGACAGGTTGAGATGGTGCTAAAGAGGGACTAAATTGAATGAGACCTGCGTGTATTATCAGGTAGAAACAAATTCTGAGACTGAGTAGATACAATGCTTTTTTACCTGCTGAGTTTTATGAGAAGGGGATACGTACTGTCCTCTTTCCTCTTTTTTCTTAGTAATTGAATTGCTTTCACATGGCATTATTTGCAGACACTAACAGCCATTAATTGAATATTCTCTGTCCAAAGCCCCTGTGGTAGAGAAGCTAGTCTAAGCCAGTTACAGAAAAGGGAATTCCCCCAATCCAAACATGCAAAATAGCTGCTGTTTTTCTTTCAGCGCTGAAGCTGTTTGTTCAGTGTTACCTCAGAATTCTTAAAGTTGGCATTGCTGGTTTTCAAAGAATCTGATCATGGGATGTAAGAGTGTATTCCTTCAAAGTGTATATACCTCAATTGCATTTTAAATTCTGGCCATGCCTTTAAAATTAATAGAATAATGAAAGTGAAATTTTACAGAAACCCCCTCAAAATGTCAGCTGTTTATGGAAACAAAAGGCCATAGATGTTTAAAAATTAAACTATAGAGATTAAAAACACAACATTTATTATTTACATTTTTCCTAATTTTATTTAGCCAGTCATCTTACCTTGATCAGGTTAGGGTGTACCGGAGTACTTTGAAATGGAACCCATATATGAAGGAACTGTGGTCCAGTAGGGATTACCTGGATGAACAATTGAAGAAAGTTAATTATTGCACAACAGTATTGCACAACAGTTAATTATTGCAAGAAGTTGTCTAAATACGTTAACCTGTGTATTTGGGGGGTCTAAGTTCAAAAGAAATTGCATATTTGCATGGAATTAAAGCGAATGTGACTAAAGGGATGATTTAGTATATTTAACAGGGTCAAGAAGAAACTGGCATTTTTAAGGGGAGTTGAAAGTCAGTTGCAACCTTATAAATAATTATGTAGTCGAGGATGAGGCTCTTGAGCAGAATAAAAATGCAGCATAAAGGCCTTGAAAACCCCAGGTGGAAGAGGTAGGTGGCATAATGTCAAGGAGAGAAGACAACTTGGCAGTGGAATTAAAGACAGTTTAGAGAAGCTCTCTTGAGAATGAAGTTCAGTATTCCCTGGGGAAAAGTCTAGTGGCAGGAATTAGGGATGAATCTGAAGGATGGAAAGGGAAGTTGCAGATATGTACAAAGTAGTAACAGAGGGCAGTTAAATTTGATTATAAAATTGATATTTCATGTCAGAAATTACACTAAAAATTTTCATTGAAACTTTACTGACAATTATCTAATATGATGGAACCTTTAAGTGGAGAAGAATCAGAGGAAAAGACTAGTCAGTGGGTAGTGGAGTTTATTTCAAACAGCTTAATTTTTATGGTATTGACCTTCCATGTGGTTTTGAGAAAAAAGCCAACTTGCATTGTGCAGTGGTGTGTATTTTAGACTTCAAGTGTTGCAATTTTACAATGTAAAAAATTATTCTTCACAGAATTTAAGTACTAAGATAGTTGAGAAAATTAGGAGGCCATACTTGAAACTGATTTTATACAGTGTAATTTGTGGCTTTTTTTTTTTTTAGACAGATTATCACTATGTACCCTAAGCTGGCCATACACTCCAACTTCAGCTTCTAGAATGTATGCATGCATGATAGCCTGCAACCATGCATGCACAATTACATGCATATGCCACAAAACTGGCTAGTTTGCATCATTCTTGAAAGCAAAGGACATTTTCACAGTGGGCATAGTGCTAAAAGGCAGCTTGGATTAGATAGAGGGAATGTCTTGTCTCAAGATAAAATTTTAAAAATTTTACTAGCATGTTTCACTGTAGTAATGTTAAAATATTTTATCTAAACCTAGTTTATAAGGGGAATGGGAAAAAGTATGGTACATCCACATACATTTTATGATGTGTTTGATACATTAGTGAAAGTGTATTGTCATTTGTAAAGTACTTAATGACTTTTGTGGCATTTTTATTATCTTTGAAAAATATTATTTGTACTTTGAAACTTTTTATCCTCTAAATGTTTTTCTTCATTTCATTTACAGATTTGGACAATATATGTCTATGAACTGTCTTAGAATTTTGAAAGAAAAGGAAACATTCAGCAGCAACAGCCATTTCTTTTTGGCTTGACAGTCTTGAATCATTTAGGACTTAGAAATCAGATTATGATAATTAATGCAAAGTGCATATTTTAGCTATGCTAATTTTTAGTGGGAAAATGATAACCCATGTATATGAAATTAAGTTGTACATGGAAATATTTTATGTTGAAGATTTTGGTCATGTCTAAGAAAAATATCTTTATGAATATCTGACTTAATTTATCAGATATGAAAGTTTTTTAAATTTTGTGTTTGTTGGGGGCAGGGGCAGAGGTTCCTGGGGCTTGAATTCAGGGCTTGGGCCCTGTCCCTGAACTTTTTTATTCAAGGCTAGTGCGTTTATCATTTGAACCAAGATCCACTTCTGGCTTTTTGGTGATTAATTGGAGATAGGAGTCTCACAGACTTTGCTGCCTGGATAGCCGACTTTCCTCCTGAGTAGCTAGGATTACAGGCATGTGCCACAGGCACCTGTCAGGCATCTTGCAGAAATGCAAGCTATATACATACATTTTTATAGCCTTTACTTATCTAAGGTCTAGCTTTTAATATTTTTTCTTTTGCTCTTTATTTGAACAATAGAGACTAAAATAATTTGTAATAAACAATGTAGGGCAAGTAAGTGCTGCTTAAAAACTATAGAGACAAGGTAGGACAGATGTAGATTTTTAATAATAGTTTCAGTAGTTATTATACTTATAGTCAGTCGTAACAATTGCATAGCAAGTACACTGAATTTGAACATGTCACTTTGCTTGTACTTTTCCACCTTGAAAGATGTTCTTTATCAAGGCAGCACATTAATTCTACCACTCTAAAAAGTTTAAAGATAGTCAGGTGCCGGTGACTCATGCCTGTAATCCTAGCTACTCAGGAGTCTGAGATCTGAGGATGGTGGTTCAAAGCCAGCCCTGGCAGGAAAGTCTGTGAGACTCTTATCTCCAATAAACCACTAGAAAACTGGAAGTGGCGCTGTAGCTCAAGCGGTAGAGCGCTGTCCTTGAGCTGAAGAGCGCAGGGACAGCCAGAGTTCAAGCCCCACGACCCACCAAAAAAAAAAAAAAAAGTTTAAGGATATTTATACGTCTATAATATAGAATAACAGACTATGTTGCATTGGGTATTTTATACCCATTACCTAATAAATTTTTAGAGATTGGTTTAGGTAACAAAAGAATTTAATTTTTAAAAAAATGTTTGACTTGAGTCTTGTTATGTAGTCCAGGCTTGCTTTGAATTTGTGATCATTCTGATTTAGTCATCTGAGTGCTGAGATTATAGGCGTGTACCTTATTCCCTGCTAGGAAGGGGCATTTTAAAAACTCATATTTTACTTCAGTAATGTTTATTATTAAATACATTTTATTACACTAGGCTATAGAGTTGAAATTATTTGGAGATAATGGAACAAATATTTATTAATGAAGATACCTAAGTATATCTTTGAGAATAAATGTTGTCATTAGCAAATTACTGTTGCAAACCCAAATCCTGTCACATGGGATTGTGTGTTCAGTAAACTTATCTTTTCCTTGTTGTTAGAGTTGTAACATTGATCTATATGACCCTTTTCAGAGAAGATTGTATTAAGGTTTGTTTTATTCATTTACTTTGTTTTGTGCTTGGGGGTA